TAATATCCTTTCACTTTAGAGATGGATTTATTTTCTAGCTGTGACTCAAAATAATACTAGAAGTTTCCATTTTAATATCTACTATGGGTTTAACTAACTTTGCAAAGATGAGGGTAAATTAATTAATATCTGCCAATCAGTGATCTCTAAATATATCTTAAGTGCCAACTTTGTGTAACTCATGCCATCATACACATTGGCAAATACATAGAAAAGCATTATTTTTATATTTTCAAGAGTTTTACATCTTATAAAAATAGCAACTACATTAAGATCAAATGGCAATATGAGAAATAAAATGAATGTCACAAATATGTACAGCTGTGTTCCTCAAACTTCTCTATCTTGGAACCTCTTATACTCTTCACATTATGGAACACCCCAAAGAGATATTACTTATTAGAAGTTAGAGCTGAGGAAGTTACAAAAAAATTTACTAATTTTTCTAGTAGTATATTAAGTATTTTAAATTACAATAACACACAGATATTAACAAAAGTAGCATATTTTGATGACAATAATTATTCTTCAAAACAAAAATAAGTTTAGTAAGAATAGTTGCATTTTTTAATATTTTTGTGACTCTCTTTAATGTCTGGCTTAGAAGACAGCTGAATTTTCCACTTGTTTGCACTCAATCTGTTGTGATATGCTATTTTGGTTGAAGTATATGAATACTATTCAACTATATAGAGATAAATATTTGAAAAACAACTGAGGAATAGGTTTTATTTTAACACAAATTATAAATAAACAAAAATGCTTATAGCAATCAGATAATTAAACAAAAACTTTTTAAGGAGAACTACTCATATTAACCTTGTGAATTAGACAAAAATTATTCCTAGTTAGAAAATAGAGACTATGAGATCTACAAGACCAGAACACTATGTCATGGCTATTAAAAGGTGAGAATTCTCCCCAATTGGTTTGTATTAGCTTATTTGTTTACTAAGAACATTTTGGAAAGATTTTGAATTTTCTGAGTCTTGGTCTGAATCCATGTCAACCGCTTTCATATGAACTTGACCACTTTAGTTTGCATCTCTTAGGCTCAGTTTGCTTATAAATATTGTTGGACATTTTCACAGAGCTGACAAAATTTACATTGCTTATTATTGAGAATGTGGGAAGTGATTTACAATATACCCCTAATACCTTGTCTGGCACATGATTAAGGTTTAAATAAGTAAAAATTATAATCTCCATAATTTGCATTACTGACGGTGATAGGTCTTGCATGTAACATGGAAACTTTTAACTGACAAGGATCATCACAGCTCAGAATATTATAAGAAATATATCTTGAATTCCTAATTTTATTTTAGTCAATATCCTTATCTAATTCTTGGGATTTAGTGTTAATACTTTACCAAAAATATACTTTTTTTTTTTTTTTTTGAGTTGGAGTCTCACTCTGTCGCCCAGACTGGAGTGCAATGGCCGCTCCCGGCCACCGCAGCCTTGACCTGCTGGGCTCCGGCGATCCTTCTGCCTCAGCCTTCCAAGTAGCCGGAATTACAGGCATGCGCTACCATGCCTGGCTAATTTTTTTATTTATTGTAGAGATGAGGTCTCGCTGCCCAGGCGGGTCTCGAACCCGCAGGCTCAGGCAATCCACTCACCTCAGCCTCCCAAAGGCGCGGGATTACAGGCTGAGCCACCAAGCCCGGCCCAAAAATATACTTTGCAGCCTTAAAATTTTTAATATAATATTTTTTTATTTGAATTGATATTTACACCTGTTTAGGAAGTAGGTAGCAGGGAAGGCTGCTTTTTTATTTTTCTCTTCTTTTCTTTTTTAGGTGAGAAAGTAAGATTTATTAAGAAGACAAAAAAGTTTCCTCAGAGGGAGGGCACATGAAAGAAGGTTGCCTTTTCTTTTTCTTTTTTTTAACCACTTGCATATTTTATTGGTATTTTTACCTCTGCACAGTGATTACAAATCGAAGTAGATCTTGTAGTTACAAGTAGAAATATAAATTGGTGTTTATATTAATAAAAATACCACTTTCTGTCAATTTGATAATTTGGTTTCTATATTTTATCTGTTCTGAAAACTAAATTCACAGAAAAAAATAATTTCAACAAGGTGACTGTAGCAAATTACAATGTAGCATATATTTTAAGATAGCTAGAAAAGAACATTTTGAATGTTTCCACAACATAGAAATGATAAATGTTTAAAATGACAGATATAGTAATTTGATCCTTTTACTATCTATGCATGTATTGAAAAATCACATTGTACCCCATAAATAAGATTGTTATGTATCAATTATAAATGTAAAATTACATTAATTGTTTTTGGAGAACACTAATAAGTCATGTTTACAGAAAAAGCAATTTCAGATTTCTGTAAATGTTGCAGTTTACTGGAAGAACTATTCAATTAAACAAAGCATTTTAGTTAAATGAATTTATATTAAATATGAAAGAAAATGTTTTGATATATTTATTTCTTAAGTAATATACTATCCCATTCTATAGACTGTAATTTATACACATGTAGTAAATAGTTCTGTATGAATTTAAACAAATTAATCAAACTAAATATAAATAGCCACCTCAAATTTAGATGAAAGTAGGAAGATACATTTTTAATGACTGCTTAAAGAGATTGAAGAATTAATACATTTGCAATTAAAATTTATTTCAGAGATCCTAACTAGGTGGATTAAGGAGTAAAACGTAAATAGGCATATAAAACAATAAATTTGATTTGAAATTCTTTTGAGGACCCTAACAATTCTAATTCTAGAAAGGTTGTGGATTAAAATTTTTATTATATGGTATATTCTTAGAAAAAAAAATAGAATACTGAATAGAAAGCAACCTTTATAAGGAGGTAATGTTATCTATAGAGACATGACAGCTTATTCAAGAATGTTAACCACCCACTTCCTAACCTGAAGTCCCAACATGTAAGACGATTTGACAATTCATATGTCAGGAAAAAAAAATTACATTGACTAATTTCCCATGAGATGTCTTCCAACTAAGAAATTATAGGATTGAGGGGGGGAGTGCAAGTAACTTTGACGGTAATAATAATATTTCAAGAAAATGGTTCCTGCTCAGAAGGGATGATATCTCTTTTAGAGACAGGGAAGTTTGACAAGGAAGAGAAAGGCTGGGGGAATTTGGAATCACGTAGATATGGCATCTTATCAATAAATAGATGACAGCACAAAGGAGTTACTGAAGGTGTTACATTTTCTGCTATTCATAATTTTCTTTTCCTTAGAGTTGGTGCAAAATCCTTATTCTTATATGTTATTAGGTTTTATTTTGTTTTAACCTCAGAGGCAGTATTTTTAAACAGATGCTTTTGATCTTTAAGAGTACATACTATATCCTCACTTCAGAAAATTTCTTTGCTTACTCCTTACTGGCAATTTTTAAAGTACACTCTAAAAGCAGAAATATATATATATTTCTGAAACCCCACAAAGTTAAATGACAATAATTACCAAAAGCCGGGCTCGGTGGCTCAGCCCGTAATCCCACCGCTTTGGGAGACTGAGGTGAGTGGATTGCCTTAGCCACCGGCTTCGAGACCCGCCTGGGCAACTTGGCGAGACCTCACCTCTACAACAAATAAATTAAAAAAAAAAAATCAGCCGGGCGTGGTGGCGCGTGCCTGTAATTCCGGCTACTCAGAAGGCTGAGGCGGAAGGATCGCTGGAGCCCAGCAGGCGAGGCTGCGGTGGCCGGGAGCGGCCTCTGCACTCCAGTCTGGGCGACAGAGTCAGATTCCAACTCAAAAAAAAGAAAAGAAAAGAAAACAATTAGCAGAGATTTAATAATTTAATCAAAGATTCCCTTCAGCTAAAAAATGCTTAATAAATGATTCTCTTTGGTTCAAAAATGACAAAATCATTTAGGAAAGTGACGGCTTGTTCCATTTTCTACTTCCAGCATGTGACACACCACTTGATTCAATAATGGTTGCATGTTTAATAAAGAACACATATTAAAAGATTAGAATAGAGAAGTAGTCTACCTTGCTGTCATGGCAACAAATTAAAATAACTCAAAGTGGTAAATTAATTTCTCTGTGTTTATGCTGTCATTTAAAAAAAAATTCCAGGAGTGGTATATAATTCTTGATTGACAGTAAATCACTTACCTATTTGAGGTACTAACATGTTTGGCATAAAAATAATATGTTTCTTTTTTTCTTCATCATATGTGAGTATTCTTTGTTTATTTCATTTTGCTTTATTTTCTCTTATCAAGTTCTAATAAATTTCTTGAGAAGCACATGTTGAAATAACAGGAGTTCTTTAAAATGTAGTAAATGAAACAGTGATATAATGTTAACAAGTAGTTTCAGCCACATACTTGCTAACAATTCTAATTTAACATTTTTTTCTTTTTTTTTCCCTCTATCTTGCAAATAAAAAGGGGGAGAAAAGATATATGATACATTGAATAGTTTCTCTAGCTTGAAACATATATGGGATCCTTTTAACATTAAAAAAGTACTCTAAATGATCCCAGTATCTATTTAAAGCAAGTAAAGTAAGTATTCATTAAATACTTAAAAACATAAATCTTGGAATGAACTCCAAGTTATTCTTTGGATTTATAACTACAAAACCAAAAGAAATTAACAAATTATTACCAGCAAATCACAAACCCATAAAATTAAAATAAAAAATGTACATTTCCAGTAATGGAATATGTTATGTTGTTAACAGTAAATTTCCAGCCTTAATTAAAATATTATATTTTTGTTGTGATATTATTTTCTATTTGGCTTCTCAGGCCTAGTCAATAGTAAGTCACACAATAACTCAATTTCTCCTTTTTCTCACATCAAGATGCTACTGAACTTTTGTTTCTACAGTGTCCTATGTATGTAATTTGGACTTTACTTGGGACAAAAATATTACATACATAGATTTTCTATCTTATTAGTTTATTAACTTGTCACATCAAAGTATTATGTGAAGCCAAAAAAAAAAAAGCAAAAATTACACAAATAACATATCTGTATTTGCTCATACAAGTTTATTGCTCTCATGAATGTTCTTACATAAAGTTATCATTAAATTAATATTAAAATAGAAAGATAGAATTAAAGGAAAATTCTAGTATAGAACTTGTGAAACCTAAAAAGTACTTTTATTTAGACCGCAATCTATCGGTAGTAGAAAGTATGAGAAACACCACATAGTATACACAGATAAAGAAAATATTTTTTACATACAAGCACTTGTCAAGAAACATTTTATTTTTATCACAAAACATTTCTAAGTTGAGTCATTAAAAATTTGAACTCATTTTTTTTCTCTAAGAAAATGATAAAATTATATTTTTGCACCCAGACTTTTACAACCCAACTTTGTTTTTTTCTTTTCTTTTCTTTTTTTCTTTTTCCCAGACAGGATTGCACTGTCCAATCATAGTTCACTTCAGTCTCAACTCACTGAGCTCAAGAGATCTTTCTGTCTCAGCTTTTCAAGTAGCTAGGATTCCAGGTACATGAAGAACTTTTGCCCCCAAGTAGTCCTCTGCCATGGTCTCCCAAAATGACAGAATCACAGTCGTGAACCAGTGTGCCTAGCCAAGAACAATTTAATTTTATCTCAAAACATAGCTGATAACTTTATTTTCATTAAATACAATAGAAATTACTTAAGCAAACATCTCAAATTTATTTTCAGTATATGAATGTAAATTATGCAAATTTCTTCATGGTAGTTTCTGTAAGTTTGTAATAATAGTAATTAAACAAAAGCACCACAGTAATATTTGACATAATGTTTTTAAAATTAATGTTGAATTTAGATACTTGAGGAAAAGTAGCTCTAATTATGGAAATATAAGATACATATCTTCTGCCAACATGTTAAAAGAGACTGAGATTAAAATCAGAGCCTTAGTCGGCTCAGTGGCTCAGCCTATAATCCCGCACCTTTGGGAGGCTGAGGTGAGTGGATTGCCTGAGTCCGTGGGTTCGAGACCCGCCTGGGCAGCGAGACCTCATCTCTACAATAAAGCAAAAAATCAGCCGGACGTGGCAGTGCACGCCTGTAATTCCGGTTACTTGGAAGGCTGAGGCGGAAGGATCGCCGGAGCCCAGCAGGTCGAGGCTGCAGTGGCCGGGAGCGGCTACTGCACTCCAGTCTGGGTGACAGAGTGAGACTCCAACTCATAAATAAATAAATAAAAATAAAATTGGAGCCTTTTCAGATATCACAAATATTCCTGATATGTTTTTTATTATCAAGAGCAAAATGTGTTTATTATAAATATACCATAGCTATAAAATAATGAAATTCTGTTATTTATGAAAAGTATTATCTCAATTTTATTATACTTCAAGGCAAGCTGTGATGAGACACTCTTATGGAAGTTGGAACAGGCAACCAATTCCTAATCAAAACCCCGGGTGCCCATGCCATAAGAGATAAGATATACAAGTGGGACCTCATCAAACTGAAAAACTTCTGAAAAGCAAAAGAAATCATCAAGAGAGCAGGGAGGCAGACCACAGAATGTAAACAAATATTTGCCAACTGTGTATCTGACAAAGGCTTAACATCCAGGATCTGCAAGAAACTCAAAAGTACCAAAAGGGAAAACAACAACAACAAAAATAACCCTGTTAAAAGGTGGGTAAAAGACATAAATAGACACTTAGAAGAAGATACATGGGGGGCTAACAGACACATGATAAAGTGCTCAGCCTCACTAATCAGAGAAATGCAAATGTGGAGAAAAGGAAATGCTTCTACACTGCTACTAGGAGTGCAAACTAGTTCAACCTCTATGGAAAACAGTATGGCGATTTCTAAAAGAACTAAACATTGACCTTCCATATGACCCAGCAATCCACCTCCTGGAGTACACTTGGAGGAACTCAAATCATTCTACAAAAAAATATACCTGCACACACACATTTATTGTAGCACTATGCACAATAGCAAAAACAGGGAACCTACCGTGCTGCCCTTCAAAACTGGAATGGATTTTTAAAAGTGGTACATATATACAATGGAATATTATGCAGCCATAAAGAAGGATAAACATATGAACTTCGCAGCAACTTGGATGGATTAGAGTCTATCATACTTGGTGATATATCACAGAAACAAAGAACAGAGAACCACAAGTCCTCACTCGTAAGTGTACACTGAATATTTACCATAGTACTCTAAGCAAGGGATTGGCAATAGTGGGATACTGACGGGGTGGGTGGAGTCGGGGGAACACAACATCAGTAAGGGTACATGATCTCAAACCAGGCAAGGTGGGAACCAGAGGGAAGACCAAACTTACCTGTACAATGACCACCTGTATACCTAAACTTGAACTGTACCCCACATCTTTCAAATAAAAAAATAAAAGAAAGTATAAAAATAATAACAACAATAATAAAAGGAACATTTAGTCACTTTATTTTCTTGACCTCAAAGTCAAAGTGCTTCAGGTAAGAGGTAAGTTTTTGTTTGTTTGTTTATCTTTTGTTTTTTATCATAATGGTAACCTGTACTTCCACAGTTCATAACAAACTATGTGTAAAAATGAAGTCGCATTTGTAGTAATATTATTACTATTACTACATAGAATTTTTTACTGGCTTGTGTTTTCAGGAGCTGTGCAGAAACTGTGTACCTTTGCAAATCTCTTCTCTGTTTCTTGTGTTTGCTTTTAACTCAGGGAACTTTTTCCTTGTACTCACACATATGTTCAAACCACTACCATGACAGGCATTATGTGTTTCATCTATACCCCATCTTGAATAGTACTATAACTTCTACTGGAAAGCACATATTATTAGGGCCAAAGTTTAATTTTATGGAGTTGTTACTGCTTCTACTAGACACAATCACCATTTGCATTAAGAACAGTCTTATGTATAAGTTATCTTATCACCTTGGCTACCTCTTATCATGTTGAATTTTACCTGAACTCTGGGCTCTGGGAAAACAGTGAAGGTTAAGAAATGCTTCTAATGTTTTGTGATCCAGGAACTGGCTCACTGCAAAAAATGGTCCTTTTTTGCATTACTTAGATAAGACTCATGGATGCTTTTCTCATTTACCTGTGACAAAGCCAGACACAGACCTTCTAAATTAATATGGTTTTCTTCACATATAATTAGTTGATAAGAAGTCACCCATTCTTGGTTGATGGCTTAGACTCCTATGTCTTGACTCACACAAAAAATGTTCTTTGGGAATAAAAATGGGAGGTGTTTAGAACTAAATTTACTGTTCTGGAAATGTATCTATTTTTTTTTCAGTATTTATTGATGTACTATTCTTAATATATAAAACACATTAACGTAATTTAGTATATAATAATACATAGAAGTTTCATATCCAAACAGCCATATTGAGTGAGTAACATTCTAAAAGAAGGGAGAAAAAAATATTTAGAGCAAAAAAAAGGGAAGATCTTTCTCCCGTTTACACTGCCATAGCAACATATGTTCAATGGCTAAGACACACTTAGTATTAAATATATATTAATGGAATAATCTGAGGAAACTGCTATGTAATATAATAGTGTCATGTGCTTCAGAGAAGAAAAGGACATCAATTTTACATTAAGAATTTGAAAATATACAAGTACTGGTGATAGACTTTCTATGCTATAAAAAGAAAGAAACAAATAGTGACTTCTCTTCTACATTGAAAATGACTTAAGAGCTAAAACAACCAAATACAATATGTGATTCTTGATTGACTACAGATGTAAGCAAATCAGCTATATACTTTTGAAATATTTTGAATATACTCAAATATATAATATGCATTTAGTATTACTAGGAGATTTGTCTCATTTTCTTTAGTCATTTGGTGATAATGTCATTATGGAAAAACTGTAGAATTTAAATCTTTTTGGAGATGCACGCTTCAGATATTTAGATATGAAGTGCCAACAATTTACTTCAAAATGTAAAAAAGAAAGAATAGCTAGTGAAGCAAATATAGAATAATAGTAATAATTCTAGTGCAGATTTTGAGTATTTGTGTTACTGTCTATAATTTTCTCAATGTATAAAAATATGAATGCTTATAGTAAAAAACAGAAGATAGAGAAAAAAAGCATTTTAATAAGAGAAAAAATAAGGTAGTTATATGTGCACCTATTTCTTACAATAAAGACATTTTAAAAGTTTATTTAGCAAATGTGAAACTTTTGACAGTAAGGGAAACAGTGCCAAATCTAGGCTAAATATCAGAATGGGAAATACACAGATATTTCCCCAATCAAAGGTAAGATGGCAAGTCAAGAAACCAACGTCGATATGTTTCCGTGGGTTAGCCTCTTGTATTTTCTTGAAATTTGTAGCAAATTTTCCAGTTCTTTAAAAAACGTACCAAAATTAGTTTTAATTAAACATTCATACTTTTTTTTAACATTCTTCTATTGGTAATTATTATAAGTGCACAAAAATTTTATGATAAAATGTGATGTTATAGATGAACGTGTGTGTGTCTGATTTTTTTCCTTTGGTTGATTTCCTACTAATAGAATAATTGCATATTAATAATTGCATATATGGTCATTGCAAAGTTCTCAATTAGGGTTATCAAATTTTTTAGAAAATATAGGTATAATTATAAATCATCAGCAGCATAATAGTTACCATTTAGATAATGTCCAATAGGCAAGAATATTATGTGCCTTATTTTCTTACTTCTTGCAATAGCTCCATTAAGTAAGTAGAAATTATTTCCACTATTTAACAAAAAATAAAGTTAGGCTTAAATTGTTTAGTATATAGAGAAAGGAGATTTTAAAAATTCATCTAGCCGGGCTCGGTGGCTCAGCCTGTAATCCCGTGCCTTTGGGAGGCTGAGGTGAGTGGATTGCCTGAGCTCGCGGGTTCTAGACCCGCCTGGGCAACTTGGGGAGACCTCCTCCACAATAAATAAATTTTAAAAAATTAGCAGGGTGTGGTAGCGCGCACCTGTAGTTCCAGCTACTTGGAAGGCTGAGGCGGAAGGATCGCTGGAGCCCAGCAGGTCGAGGCTGTGCAACAGAGTGAGACTCCAACTCAAAACAAAAAAACAAAAAAAAACTCATCTATGTTAATTGTTTCTGCCAAAATAAATATGATTCCTATCAACAATGCTTGAAATATGTATCTTTCCAACAACAGATCTTATTTTTTTTTTTTTTTAAGTTTAGTATGACAAGTGAAAAATCAAGTCTTATTGTTCTAAAGATTGGTGATTTACATTTTGCCTTTTATAGTTTTTTTCTCTCTGCCTTAATCACCTCCTCTACTTGGGCATCCATATACTCCTCATGAATTTATAACTGTTATGTATAAATTTATATTATTAATCTTGTTTTTGATCTATGGTTTTAAATATTTATATGTCTATACTGCAAATTCAAAAAGAATCATGCATGTTTTTAAAAATAGAATCTATTCATCTAAATCCAAAATTAAATAGGAAAGCAAAATAGAATTAATTCTTAATAATTAATATAAAAATAACGTGTAAAATAGTTCACTTTGTGGATGTAATAGACTGAAGTTAAATTCCCTCGCTTTTTAAGTCCAAATAATATCTTTAGAACTGTTTATTCCATAT